CAGAATTTCAAGCTTCAACTGGCTTAGTTTGCTCTAAAAGCTTAGTTTGATACACTGGCGGTGACTTTTTTCATTAGTTCAAGTGAACTCTTCACTTCAAAATCAATTAAAACATCGAAGGGTGCGGTACAAAAGAACATCTATGCCCGGAGCTATATCAATTTCAATTTCCTCTCTTAGCCTTTTTTGTTCCCATCTGATGACAACCGAATTACGAAATTTCATTTTCAATTTCCTGAAAAAACAAAAATGACAAATGTATTCAATTTGAAACACATGTGGCTGCCTCTTTCATTCTCAGTTCAGTTCAAAAACAACGGAATGAGCTTTTGCTCCGTAACTCCTGGTCCTGTGATTATTCTTTGGTTGCTTTTCCATGGTGCCGCTTTAAATTAATGCTCAACAAAATAGTCAAATTGGGATATTTTCTGTAAAATCCATTTTACAAGGACATTTTTGTATAGACAAGAAACCGGGTCCACTTTCTGAAGTTATTTCATGACGTCCACTTTGGCCCAGTTGAAAGTTTTTACAATTTTTTTGATTAAAATCTTATCTGAACTGGCCACGAACGAAATATCGTTACTGTACGGGAGGATAGAGTGAATTTTTGCCAATTTTTCAAAAAGATTTCACGAAGAACTTTTTTTGAAGATAGGGTCTTCTAGTATTTCTTCGGAAATCTTAAATTAATAATTGTGGTTTCTCCGCGGTTAGCATAGGATCTATAACAAGCTTTTCAGCCTGTCTAAGCTTACAGTCCGTTGCTTTTATCGCCCCACATTCCAGATTGAGTTGGTTTTTTGAGCAAAACTCTTTTTTTTCTGCGACTCAAGGTTTTTTTTTGCGTCTAGAAATTTTACGTGGTGCGTTATCAGACCGACGAAAAACTGGTCACTTTCCAAAAATCCGCCATCCTTCAGAGCAACCCCCCTTCCGCAAAAATCATCGGCGAGTCTGTTTGAGACAATTGATGGCTGATGATTCAACCACACTTTCTAAATTCTAGTTCATTTCAAAAAGTATTTGTTTTGTACGGCTTGAGCAAATGGATCTTAAAACGAATCAACTGAAGAACTATTACGATTAATTGATTTTGTTCGCAGCTGCAAAAAATGAGAATAGTTTTGATTTAAATAGGGATACAATTTGGCTTCAATCATTATATTTGTTTTGGTAGGAACATTTCTGAAAGTTGGCCGAGAAAGTTGGGGTGTTGATAAATTCAATTTCCTATAATCCTTTAGCATAATCCTGGATTACAATAATTTTATAATAAATTATTTTTCAGGAAGCTATAAAAAAGCCTGTAAACGAATTTAGTCTGCCTCTTAAAAAAATTTAACAGTTTTGAGTATGCTCTTGAATTTAAATTTAATTAGCAAAATGGGCTAAAACTTATTATATCAGATATCCATTAGGCTTTTTTTCTGAAAAAATATGGTAAATTTGTAATTTTAGCTGCTCTTTTAGAGTAAAATAATTAGGGTTGAAATTCAATTAGGGTAGATGTCAAAAATTCGAACAGTGGGAAGTCGCAAGTCACTCAAACTGACTTTCGATTCGGAAAAGGCTGCCTTTTTATGTTCATTTTGAATGCCCAAGATAATTTTTACCCGGGCACTGAAACGAATGTGATTAGTTCAATTAAGTGCATGTATTAGTGTAGGGAGAAAGCTGCCCGATAACCGCTTGCGGTCTTTTAGAAGGACCTTTTTAGGAGAACGTTATGATCCCTTTAGCCGGTGACATTTTATGGAGATTGCTTCTTAACTGGGGGATTTTTAGCCCGAGAGAAAATCAAGTATCTTCGACGTTCAATCGCAGACGGTTTTACTTGCAGATAATTAGATGCCTTATTTAAATGCAAACTACAGAAAAGGCGGATCAAATTGTAATATCTTCCTTAAGCCCGGCGCTTACTTGTGACCTTTTATCGATTCAAACGTTTTTTTTATCCGAAAAAATTAAATTTTTCTATCAGAACTCAACAATATGCTACTGAATTAAATTCATTTCTAGGATAATATTACACTGACATTTTTGTCTAAAGGAAATAAGATCAAATCTAAATACAGCCAAAAACTCGCAAACATAAACTAAAAAAAGCTGAGTAGTGTTTCTGCAGCCTAAAATCAAGCCTAAAACAGCAAAATTGCTACAATGATAAGCCAAATTTTAGATCCAGAGAAATTAGAAGAATTGAGTGAATTGACTGATACAAAATTAGAAGAATTGAGTGAACGCTTTGAAATGTATTTGAAGTTTTAGGATATATTGGGACACCATACATATAAATGTTTAAACTGAAAGCACGTTTTAACAAGGATAGGGTGTTGCTGTGCAAGTAGCACAGAATATTCTGACCATATTCATTAAAAAATCTACAAAAAAAATCATTTTCTTTAGTTTCTTCATTTTAGGGTCGTTTTTTGCCAATCGTGTAATTTGAGAACCAGACCAACTCTTAGAAAGTTAGCCAGCCAAAAATACATAATCTTGAATAGTTCGGCTCAATGCATGTACAGTTTTTCAGATTTTGGTTATAATATATTCAATTCGGAAAAAATACTAGTGTTAAGTTTTTTCTCGATACTTCTCATAGTCAGAATCATTAAGCCTAACATACTATTTTTTGATACTGTAGGTAATACAGATATAGATAATGCAATTTTGAGGCAAAAGTGTGGTATATTTTTTTCGGTAAATAATTGTTGGGTTCTAGTTAGAAACCATAATACTTGCCCTATAATTAGGGTGCTTTTTCAATCGACGGATTATCACGTTATAAGCGTTTTTGACTGACACTGTTTGTACCATCTCAAAATAATTACTGCAGGGAGCTAATTTTTCTTTCTAAAAAAACAACCACTCACTTGTGGCCATTAATTTGTTAACCAAAAAATATCTAAATTGCTATTTTGACCAAACTGGGATAATTAAAGCGGGATATACTGGGTTCTTCTAACAAGCGTAAGCGGCACATTAAATGAATCCAAACTGAACTGCCTTTTGGTCTTAATTTTAGGACATAAGACGCTAATTTACTTTAAATAGCGTACGGGGAATGAAGTTTTATAAAAAATTGTTTGATAACTTTAATCTTTGTAATTAGCTAAAAATGCAGAAAATAAAGTTGCCTTGATATAAATTTTGCCTTGATATACGACAAATTTTGTTGTTTTGGCTTTCGAATAAAGTGCTGAGTTTTTAGGCTAGCAGTGTTTTTTTATTAATCAAACTTCGGCGATCACAATCATAATCTTTAACAAAAATCATAGCCCAATCATTGAAAATTTTGACTCCCGAGAGTTTTGCTCGATTGTTTTGCTAAATTGTGGGATTTTGAAAAATGTCAATTTGGCCAAGCTCTGAATTAAGTTATGAACGCTTTGATAATTTTTTGATGACGTTGAAAACTTAACGCCTGGGTGGCATATAGTCTCGCAAAAAATAATTGTTCCAAATACAAATGAAGCACACAAAATGTTCATTCTCACTTCATGTGACTCATTTTGATATTTGATATTGCTCAAAACTTGTGGTTGTTTCAACAGTTTTAACCAAGTTTTTCCGATACCAATTCAAGGGCAGTCGAAACATTTAGGGCTTTGCGCTTCTATACCAGCTGTGATTATCACAGTTTACCCAGTTTACTGTACTTTTGTGAGGCAAAGTTCTTCAAAATAATCTGCAGCCGAAGTAATTTTTTTGAGACATTTTAATCTAGTTTGCTTTCTGTTGATAAATGAAAACTTGAAGTGCACTTGTTTTTGATTCTCTCTGTCGTTGTTAAAAGATATAGTCGTTGAAGCATTATTTCAAAAATTCTTTGACAGATTTGTTTTCCAAACACGTTTCGGACACACATACACATTTTCACCTTAAATAACTATCGGAGCCAAATAAAACAAAACTACTAGTATCAGGATACAGCTTTGAATGCTTCGACTGCCTCTTGAATGCTTCGACTTCGAAAAATCATTAATTAAAATTTTTTTAAAAAAAAACTGAGTAATAAAAATTAAAATAAGAAAAAATAAAAGTTGAAAAATTTCAAAAACAACTGAAAAAAACACTTTCTCAGATAAATAAGTTCCTTGCAATGTAAAATGCTTTGTAAAACACAAAAAGATGTAAGATATATCCAGCAACGTAACTCTTAAAGCTTGTCTCCAATCAAACTGGAAGAATTGTCGGGCTGGATTGAATCACCGCCACTGTTTAATAGAAAGAAATATATCGCGCATCGGTTGCCCCAAATGATCCAATCTGACAAATTACAAACCACCTTAACTTTACCAAAATGGACCAAAAGTTGAACATCTTCTAAATTTGAGCTCAGGACATCAATAGCTTTCAGTTGATATAAGTAAACCGCCAAAAATGGCTAGTTAACTAGCAAATATTTGTCTGGAAAAAAACACCCCAAAAGTCACCCATAAAATCAGAGGCGGATTTAGGATGGGAGGGGAGCGGGCGTCCCTCCCTCAGGGTTTCGTCCCCCTGCCGACCCAAAAATTCCCCGTTTAAAAACGTTTTTTTTTGGCCTGTTTTTTCACAATTTTGCCTACGACACAGAAATTTTGGCCAAAACAGGATCTTTTTAGTGCTTGGGGGGTGCTCGGAAAATCTAATTGGTCGAACTAAAAAAAAGGTCAACAAAATTGTCAAAATTTTTTCGAAAACACCGGCATAAAATATTGATTTTTTTTTCATTAGGTTTATTTGAAACTGGTTATAATAAGAGATATATCAGCGAAGGTACATAAGTGAAGATGGCTATAATAAAAGAAAAACTGGATCTTATTTTTGGCGAAGCAAGTTTTTGTTCAAAACCTTATTCAAATCTCAGCTCAAATATTTTTATCTGCTCAACAGTTCAAATTGTTTTATTTTGTGATTTGAACTGGGTCTAAATTTTGGAAAAGTTGCTTTGTTTCTTTTCTAACTTTGTTTCCGACATTATAAATTTCGTGAGATCGGCGTTGTTGTTTCAGACTACCCTTACGTGACCCTGTGTTTGACAATCGAACTGAGGCGCAAGTTGAGCATCTACCTGATCACCATCTACTTGCCCTCCATCTCCCTGGTTGTGCTATCCTGGGTGGGGTTCTGGATCGACAAGAGAGCAGTGCCCGCCAGAGCATCGCTCACAATCACCACTATTCTCGCACAGATCACACTCATCACTGGGGCTGCCAATCAGTAAGAGATGCAAATCTTCTAGAGAGTTCTCAAACTGTGAATGAATAAAAAAATTAAGTAATTTAAAATATCAAAAAAATAGAAATACAACATTAACAACGGACTTGGGTGGAAAAGCACTGTGGAATGAAGCGCAAAATATGAAGATAAATTTTTTTTTTTTTAAACTTTCCCGCACCGGAGTTCCATGGATAATAATTGATTATAATGGAAAAATGTTGTATAAAATGTTCAAATTATAATCCATTATAATCCATTATAATCCATTAAAATCCATTATTATGGCAAATTTAGACCACGTAATCGATTATTTGGTCATTAAAATCGATTTTTTTGAAAAATAAAAATCCATTACAATCCATTATAATCGATTATAATCCATGATTTTTGTCACTGAAATCGATTTTTTTGCCAAAATAATCCATTATAATCGATTATTTTGAAAAAAAAAATCCTTTATAATCCATTATAATCCATTTCATTTTTAGAACTAAATTCGATTATTTTTGCAAAATATTGCAAATTTTGCAAGAAATTTGCAGAATTTATGCCATGTCTTTTACTACATGGCATGTCTCAACGTCATCCCCTTGCCCCCTCAGCTAAAGGGGTAGGGTAAACTGGGGGGAGGGGAAGCTGGGGGGGGTTGGGTAAATAAATTCGGGTAAACTGGTGGGAGGGGGGGTAAGCGGGAGGGGGGGGGGGGGGTTAGTAAACTGGTGGGGGTAGTAAATTGGATGCTTAACTGGTGGGGGGGGGGGGCGGTAAGCGGTAAACTAGGGGGGGGGGGGTGGGTGCGGTAAACTGGGGGGGGGGGGGCGTTAAATTTTATTCTGAAATGTAACATTTTATGAAACGTAATTAGTAGCAACTGCACTAAACAGGATATGATATAATTTTGAACAAAATTGTAAATTTCAAGAATAACCCCTCGAAAAACTCCATTATAATCGATTATAATCGATTAAAAATGGATTATTTTGCCTCGAAAACAAGTTTCATTTTATTTCAAAAATAATCGATTATAATCGATTATATTCGGATTTTATTGATTAGAAAAACAGTTTCATTATAATCCATTTTTAATCGATTATAATCGATTATTATCGAAATTTATTGAGACAGACCACGAAAATTCAATATAATTGATTATTATCCATGGAACTCCGGTGCGGGTTGACGGCTAATTTTGAAAATAATTTTGTGTATTTCAATTTTCCAAACGCTAGCCTATAATCAAATTATACATACAAAAACTATATTGGCTCTCTTTTTGGGCTTCAAGATTTTGGTATACGTTGCATAATTTCATTTAGATTTCCGGGAATTGCCGATCTGAAGCTGGTCGACCTCTATCTGATCGTGAACTTCTTCTATGTCTTCGCCAGTCTCATCGAGTTCGCCCTGGTGTCGTACGAGCCCCCCGTCAAATCTATCGGGAAGTCATGGCTACAGAACACGAGGGAACGCATGCGCATGATGAACGCCAAGATGCCCACGGAGAGTCCCCGTGAGGGGGGCAGGAACAATAATAACAACAAGATGGGGAGGTTGAGTGGGTTGATTAGGCCCAAGAAGATGTCCAAGGGGTCCATGGGTGGCGGCGAGGGGGATACGATGACCTATTGCAATACTGTCGTTCATCAGATGGTAATTTTTCAAAATTTCATTGAGCATTTAAATAGTTTTTGCTCACGGATCTCGGATTTTTTCGGTTCTAAATTCTACTGTGGGGACTGAAGCAAATACAAAATTGAGGATCCTCGCATTATGGATCGACTTATACAAGTCCCCCATTAAGTCACCTTACAATCAAAAACGTTGTTTATTAATTATAATTACTAGTTTTTATTATTAGTAATACACATAGAATCGGTAGATGGATGAAGATATTGAAAAAAGATTCTGCGAATTATGTCGGCGTATTATGTCAGTCTTTTTCTCATTTTTTTTTTAAGTCAAGCAATTTGATTTTCCAAACTCTACCAAATCACAATAAAGACCCTATTTTGATCTAGATTTTCTGCTACGTAGGCAAATTTTCAAAAAAAAAACAGCCAAAAAAAATCATGAATTTTTCGGCGCGCCCTCGCCCGTCAATGCTAGAAAACGTTTAAGATCGGTCAGCCAAAAATTGATGTCTGAAAATAAAACCAAAAAGGGACCCCTTTGGGTCGTCAGGAGGTCGAATCCCCGAAAAGAAAGCCCCCCCCCCCACCTTAATCACCTGATCGAATTGCTAAGCATTCCGTACAAAGTTCTGACTACATTTTGTTTGAGTCATTTTAACCGCATAAATCCTTTTGAACCCTCTCCTGGGGGGAGGTGTCATTATGTGAGTTAATTATGTTTTCACAGGTACCGTATGCTTATTTTTATCCTTGAATGAACTTTCGGATACTCGCTTGAACCAGATATCAACTGAACTGAAATTAAGCTAGCACTGTTTCAAGTTTTAAGTCAAGAAGCTCAAGTATTATCGTTTATTCCTTTCATCTTATTATTGCCAGTTTTTATATCAAAAATACGGAATGAAATGCCATAGGAAAGCAGAAGCTTTGTTTGCCTGGTGGAACACATGTTTCTACTATGATCCTACAATTTTAGGCAATACTACAAACGGTAAAATATTTCTTAACGAAATGACTCTTATTCCAAAACTGTTTTGTCATAGTTATAGTTGTCTTGCTCAGTAGTTTTATCAAATAAATGCAATCGGCTCAAAATTGAAGACATTCTGCCAAGTTGTTTAAAAAGACGTATCAAGCTGATTTTCTGACGTATTATGCTGATGTGGCGTATTCCTGGAACGCCACATTAAATGTCATTACAATAATTTCTGCGCTGCTGTGAATTTTTTTTTGCGCTGACTTATTTTTGTTTGAAAATTTTTTGAAAAAAATGCATTTCTTTCTGGCTACTCCTTCTTAATGAGTATATATTGGCGCCAAAATAGCTTTTAAATAAATTTTAGGGATAATTATCTTATAAAAGGTGTCGTAAAATAGTATAAAAGGGAGTGGTGAGGAATTCAAATACCTTTGGAGCGAGATCGACTCGATTAGGTGTGCTCGACTTATGTTTCGACTTTTCCGACAAAATTTTGGTGCGTTTCGACTTCCTCGACCCAAGAAAAACTTAATCGACTTTGCTCAACCTAATTCAGACATGTTTCGACTTTATCGACCGAAAAAAAAACTTCATTATAAATGATCAAAACAGCCAAGATATGTTTTGACTTTTTTGACCAAAAATCGGTTTGTTTCAACCCTCTCGACTTTCTCAATTGATTTTTTTCAATATTTTGCTCGATATCAGTGGCTTCCTCAATAATTGATTAAGTTGGGAAACAAATTTCAGAATTTAAGATCTCCTAATTGATTATCTGCGCTCTTCTAATCACTAAAAAGACCCACCAAGAAAAAAAACATAGGATTATTGAACATTTAGTTCAATAAAGACGAAAAACGACGCTTTCGAGGCTTTTTGGAAACAAAGCAAAACTTGTACTCCACTCAACACGCTACTGCTTCATTTGTTTTATCTGCCCGGTCTTGTCTGTGCTCGACTGATGTTTTGACTTTACTGACCCAAATTGTTTCGATTGTGCTGAACATCTCATTTTTCAATTTTCTCGACTTTCTCGACTATGAAATAATCTGAAGAAACTGAAAGTAAAGATACAATTTGCTTTAGACAAATTCCAGTAAGGACGCCAGAGATAGAAAAAAGTAAGTCTCTTCTGATTTTTCTTCAGAATTTCTTACAATTTTTTCTATTTTTTGCATAAAAGCTTAGGGTCTAAAGGTGGAAAATTTTACTTTGAAAAAAAGATCAATAAAGAAGTAAACATAAAAAGCACTTTTTCTTGCCTTAGGAACCCTCACATCTCAACAAAAAGAGGCCCGGAGAGGTAAACAATTCTACCGAAGTGATTGTTGCTCAGTGCAACTTTCTGACTGAGGTTTTTTGAACTTTCTGAACTAAGTTTAAATTCATCAAACGAAAAATTAACAAATAGGGAGTGCATGACCAAGGTTTCGACTGAACATGACCTATGTTTTGATTTCCTTGGCCAAAATGGGATATATTTTGACTCTGTGTTCGATTTAAACTCGCATTAGGAGGCCAAACTGAGCAGTTTATGAATTGTTAGCGGATTCCTCATCAGTTTTGTCGCAAAACACGCAATATTGCTTTTTTTTGATTTTTTCTGATGTTTTTGCTTCCACGATCAAATAGTTAAAACACTGTATTGCTGAAAATTGCTCCAAAGATAGCCGATTTTTCGGAATTTGCAACAAAGTTTGCAGAATCCGCAACAATTTGTAGAATTCACTCACAAATAACATATCATTTGAGTTGCGTAAAATTATGCTGTTCCAGAAAACACAATTGTAACGGAATCTTCAAATTGTAAGCAAAATCCGTAGCGAGAGTTCTAACAGTTTAATCTCATTTGCTGCCTACAATTCTATCTCATTTACTGACATCAGTTCAACCCAGGTTATTTCAATCTCAATCACTGCCAATGATTCAATCTCCTTAACTGAAAACAGCTTAATCCAGCTAAAATCTACCAGCTAAATCTCCAACACTGAAAGAACGAGCTCCGAAAGAATGAACACACTTCACCTCGGCAACCTCAAATACTGGGACAAAGAAAACCAACTGAAATAAGCGTAAACAAATTTCGTTTCCGTTTGGCCATCATCGTATCAATTTCAACTTAGTATTATCCAAGGTTTTTAATCTATTCCGAATTTACTCCCGAGCTTCAATTTGAATTAAAAGATAAGAACTTGAAGATACAGTTTCAAATGATAAATTAATATGCTGATAAAGCTACATATTTAGGTGGGCTCATAGAGAATAACAGAATCTTTAGGTCAAAAAGGTCAATCATATACACATTTCCAAAACAAAACCAAAACTCGCTAATCCCTGATAACGATTTTTCTCATTCAAGTTTATGATGTGTTTCTCAAATAACGATATTTATCAGAAATACCAAAAGTGTACCACACAATTTTATCTTAAAAGAATTAAGATTTAATCGTGAATTTTGCTGACAATGGTCAAGTCATTTTTTAAAATTCCCAATGTTATAGGAAAATTATTCTAGCTCTAGTTTTTAACTGATCATACGCAAGAACTGGTTTAGTTCAATTTATTAAACAAACTTGTGGAATTTGCTTGCTGCGAATTTCGCGTCTTCTACTTACATTTGCGGAAATCACTCACATTTTGAGGCATCCATTTAGTTGCGTAATTCAGAACCACTACTTTTTCTTTTTTCGCTTGTAGCTGAATCCGCAACAAAACATATGGCCCACAAAGCTTACGTTACAGATATTTCTACGCGGAATCTACGGAAGTTTTGTAAATGGAGTGCGCTTACTTTTTGGAAAGTGTTCAGAGACTTGACTCTAGATTCCACTGATCTGGATACACCAAATTTTGTCCCTATCCGAGGCACAGTTTGAATCCGTTATGTGTTTTTTTAATTCGAATTTCCCGACGCAAAAAGTCTTCTTGCTCGTCTTACAATATCTAAACATAAGTCGAGTACTTCGGCGAGAAAAGGAGGTGTTCGCCATTCCCTGTAATTTCGGTTCAGATTTTCGGCAAGATAAAAAAACATTGGTTGTAAACGAACACGACAAACATAAAATAGAAAAATATTTCATACATTGATTCTTACATTGCTTTTATAATATGTGGCTAATAAAAATTTAATTTTTTCATCAAAATTTTTGCATTTAAGGCAGCATGACTATAATGTTCAATTTTTTGTGTGAAATGTTTGTGGAAATAGTTTAGTTTTTGTGGTACTTATCGTTGTTTAAAAATTATTGCTGGAAATTGTCTCTTCCATAAGTAATTTGGAGCTACAACGAAAAGAGTTTTTCAAAATTACAAGCTTTCAGAATATTTTTTACTCTATACTTTTGGGCATGCTACTTAAAAAAACTGCTTAGAAGCAGTGTTTGATGTCAATTTATCGTGATGAGCAAGCTCACATGAGCTTAGTGCTTCTTTAAAACAAATGACCACCCATAAGATCCAATTGACTTTTTGTTCAATCTTGTTGAGATTCATTGAAGAAAACATAACTATTTTTCTTTAGAATTTTTTTTTCAAATTTTGGGAAGTATTTTGATGTATTTGATGATCGAGACGTTTGACACAGAAAGATTTTAAAACTAGCCACCATATAGTAAATCAATTTAACAGCCTGCCCTTAAAACGCTCTATGTGAATGTTAACTTAGTCCACTTGGTCTAATGAAGTTATCTCTGTTAAACTGAACAATTTTTTTATAGTAAGCCTCAGAAAAAAAAAACAATTTTTATACTAACTAATATTGTTTCATTTCAGAGAAAGGACGCTGCTAAGACCGTTGTTCACACAGAAGACGACCTTGATAAATCCATGCGCGACATAGTGTCATCACAAAACATCAAAGCCACCTTAGAGGGCGCGGTACGAATAGACTCGGAACCCACGATACTCAATTCAGATGATCGAAAATGTGGCAATAACGGAGCTTCATCTACATTCAAACCTCACAATGGATTCCAAAAGCTGAAACCCAGCGAACCGAAGAAACAAGCGACGGGAATGAGAGCCCTAAAGGATAAATGCAAGGAGAGTTTTACTGAGAGAAACGCTGACGACGTTTCCAAAATCATTTTCCCGACTACGTTTATTTTCTGGAACTTGATTTATTTCGGTATGAGTTTCCATTTTGCAAACAGATTTAATTTTGATAATTCTTCGTAAAAGGTGCAAGTAATGATTTTATATCACACTGAGTAATATGAGTTAGTACTGATAATAGATTGTTGCAATATATATTTGACAAAAAAAATTGATTGTCGAGGTTTTCAGCGTGTTTTGGCTTTGGTCTCAAAATGATAGCAAAAATATTTAGGTTATTAAAATGAATATCGAACATAAGAAGGAAAGTAAGTTGCTGCGTGAATACCACAGAATGTCTGAACACCATCGTTAAAGAAGAGAAACTCAAGCATGAACAAAAACCGAAAAGCAAAGTGAAAAACTTCGTTTTGTATCAACAAAAGTTTTCTTTCTTACTTTCAGTTAAAGGCGATTGATTTGGATAAAAACTACAGTTCAAGAAAAACTACACCCTTACAAAATAACGTTAAAAGTGCAGTAGAAGTAATTTGATTATCATTGAATTGGGTTCAGCGCCATCAAATTTCGTCAAACTTCGTCTGGAAATCTGAAAATTTCAGACCAATTTTTAACGACACAGGACAATTTTTTGAAACCACGCTTTTGGAACAGAAACCAAAAGACTTTAGAAAAGGTTTTGAGCGATATCACACTTGACGAGTTTTTATTGAGGTAGGCAAACAACACACCGAAGAAAGAAAAAACCCACCCTACGCTATAGTTAATTCCCACCCCCTAACATTTACTCGAAAAGACAAGACTGCTAGCAGCAGGACTAAGCTCTGATTATTTCAACTGTCTCCTGTAACCTAGTTTTCAATAAAATTACTTCTATAGAAATAGTTTTTGATATATTCTGCCTTTAGAAAATAAAGTTTGTTTAATTGTCAAAATATTTTAAATTAATGCCAATTATTTTCTGAAAATTTTTCCCCAACGCGCTTTGATTAAGTAGAAAAATATGCAATCATTAGCGTTTAGCAAGGTATTATTCAGCCTAGGTAGTTTGCTTCAAATCAGTTTCAACCAATTTATGAGCCGGATTGAATCGCCGTCTTAGCATAAGTAGAATATATCTCTAGAATTTTTAGATTAAACAAGACTGCTCGTATCAGGGCGAAGCCCTGAATGTTCCGACTGCCTTAACTTCTATGGAGCAGTAATGACATGAAAAATTGAACATATAATAAAAATGGAACGAATTTTTTTTTAATTGAGATTTTTTGTAGAAACCATCCCCCCACACGCCATATAAAGTACAAAAAGATCGATTTAGCTCCTTGTAACAAATAAATTATGGCATGTCAGCTTATTTGCCATAATTGATTTGTTACAAGGAGCTAAATATATCTTCTTGTACTTTATGGCGTGTAGGGGATGATTTTCATTTTAAAATTTCAAATCTAAGGGCGCACTCCGAAACAACGTGATTTTTTTCTCAAAAAATCAAAAAAAAAACGTCAAAATTTCTTGAAAACTTCCCCCTCTCGACAAAATGCTAGAGGGATTTCGTAAAGTTATGGGGGCTGAAAGATTGCCATTTTGGCCAATTTGGGACAATTAACGCGCGATATATTACGCGCTTTTAACTCGTAAGCGGAGATATAATCCGTCTTAGAAATCGTTTCAAATTGGTTGAAAAAAAAAGTTTTTTGTTTAAATGATTTGTTACTAGGAAGTTTTTTTTATCACTTTGTACTTCATATGGCGTGTGGGGGGATGGTTTCTACAAAAAATCTCATTTAAAAAAAATCCTTCTGTTTTTATTATATATTCAATTTTTTCATGTCATTACTGCTCCATAGAAATTAAGGCAGTCGGAACATTCAGGGCTTCGCCTTGATACGAGCAGTCTTGTTTAATCTAAAAATTCTAGAGATATATTCTACTTATGCTAAGACGGCGATTCAATCCGGCTCATAAATGGGTTGAAACTGACTTGAAGCAAACTACCTGGGCTGAATAATACCTTGCTAAACGCTAATGATTGCATATTTTTCTACTTAATCAAAGCGCGTTGGGGAAAAATTTTCAGAAAAATAATTGGCATTAATTTAAAATATTTTGACAATTAAACAAACTTTATTTTCTTAAGGCAGATTATATCAAAAACTATTTCTCCTAATAAGGCAATTTCAAATATATCAAATATCATCAGGCAGAATATATCAAAAACTATTTCTCCTAATAAGGCAATTTCAAAATTTAGAATTTTTTTTTAACTTTTAGTTTTCATTGTTATTACTGCTCCATAAAATCTTAAGAGACAGTCGGAACATTCAGGGCTTCGCCTTGATACGAGCAATCTTGTTTAATTTTGAATCGAATATGAATAAGTTTTTTTTCAACCGAACTCAGTTTCAAATCGATCCAAATTGATAAACTATGTTGGATCGTTTTAGGCGTCTAAAAAATAAATTTATATCAATTTGGATGGATTTTAATAGCCACTTAAGTCCATCTGGTTCTCTTCAAAGTCGATTTAATTGGATTTTTTTGGGTTGTAAATCTTTGTTTTTGCTCCAGAGTTTTAACCATAGTTTGTACTCAAGAAAAATCGCCGCCGTCAGTCAATGAGACGAATGGCTTAAGGCAATTCAGTAGTTACAGGGCACCTCTTTAAAGTTTTGCTATCTAAGTGAACCCTTCCCCCCCCCCCCCCCCCCCCCCGCATTGAAAATTGATAATTTAACATAAAATTTTCAAATGCTTTTCTTGAGATCTGCATTTAGGCAACGAATTTTGTAAAACGGATCAGCAAAAATTGTGATAAACTCAATTTGGAAAGTTATTCACACAAAATTATATGTTTTTATATATTATTTTCAGATAAAAATGTCAACACAAAAAATCAACTGAAAAACATGCATTAAATTTTTGTTTATAATTTGTATTAAACCAGTAAAAAAATGTGAATCAGAGTTGATTTAAATCAATTCGAAATCTCTCAAAAAATAAAGCCAAAAATATGACTATAAACTGATTTAGAATTCAAGTTGTTTCTACCCGTTTCGAACTGATATCAATTTAAATCGATTTGAAAGTGATCCAAATCCATTTTAATTGTCTGAATACTTTTTTGAAACTCAAATCAGTCAATTCATTTTTGTCAGTGTGATATGACCGGGTATGTGTTGACTTTGAGATTTGCTCAAAATTGAATACTGGCACCCATTTATAGACGCAACATGCATTGTGTCCACTTTTAAACTTGAGGCATCGTCTCGAGTTCGAATGGAAAAGTTTTTGATTTTTTTGAATGAATTAAATAAATTTCTCGTAGCATTGGAAGAACTTAAAATCTTTTACATAAATTTTATTCACTGATTCTGAATGTCATCAATTTGAATTTGTGTAAGAAGTGTTAGTTGTTGTCAGATATCTTCATTGCGTGGAGACCGGATATGATCAGATAACCAGATTATAAAACTCTGGTTATAATGTCAATTAAGATAGTTAAAGTAATAAGAAAACATTACTTATATCAAGTTACCAGTGTTAGCGTTTCTAAATCACTATCTTAACTTCTTGATTATTCGGTAGAAGCAAAAACCAAATTTCAATTCTTGCGGTCAAAATTAGTTCCTTGCCTTATTTTGAGCACCATTATTTCGATCATAAATTTGTCAGCCACCCAATCAGCGAGAAAAATGAATTAAGATTTTGGGGATAACTTTATCCGAAACATCACAGGTATGTCACAAAGGGATTCGACCCCTTGCCGACCCGAAGGGTCCCCCCTTTGATACTTTATAAGAAGTCCATTTTTGGCCGACCGAACCTAAAATTTGGCCACGCCTTTAGAAAAATTTTAGGGTCGGTCGGCCAAAAATGGACTTCTTAAAAAGTATCAATGGGGGAGCGCGCGCCAAAAAAACGCAATTTTATGTCAAAATTTTCCAAAAAGTGCCCAAAAACGGCTTTTGACCTGTTTTTTCAAAAATTTGCTTGCGGCGCAAAAAATTCGGCCAAAACATTTGGCGAAAATTTGGCGTCTTCTTAGTGCTTTAGGAGAGCTCGGAAAATCAATTTGGTTGACCTAAAGAAAATAGGTCGGCAAAATTTTCGAAAATTTTTGAAAATCCGCCCCCCTTGAGAAAATCCTAGATCCGCCCTGGTTACGACTGAGCTGATTATAGTAAAGAAAATATTTCATGAGATTAAAAGTCAATTCTATGGTTATTTCAACCGTTTAAGATCCAAATCATCATTTTGTACTTTAAACTGAATATACCAAAAAAAAAATTGATGTGGAAACTATATCAAAGAAGCCTTTTACAGACCCCAACAAAAATCTAAGCTAGTAAGGTTTCCAAAAATTGCGTAGAAGTTTTGTTTTCAGCCAAAGATTTTGATTTTTTTTTATAGTAAAAATGAATTTTCGGTTATCAATCAAAATTATACAGATTTTGGGAAGTTTTAGGCTCCAAGAACGTTGTTGGGCTGTCTAAGAGACTTCTTTTGATATAACTTTTTCATTTGTTTTTTTTCTGTATTTTCGGTGTAAATCTTTATTAATTAACAAACCAAATTGACCTAATTTTGGGGTAAAATTTTTATTGAGAATAATTTTGGTGGAATTCTAAGCATCTTTTGTTCTGTTCAATTTTTGTTCTGTTCATTCTTTATTAATTTAAAAACCCAAATTAGCCCATTTTTGGGGTAATGTTTTTGTTGAGAATTTCGGGGGAAAAATTACAACGTAATATTTCTGGTGGACTTCTAAGCAACTTTTTTTTGTTCGATTTTGGGACTAATTTTAACCCAATTGAGAAAAAAAAGCGTTTCAACTTCCAAACGTTGTTCAATGTGCCGATCAATTTAAATCAGCACTGTACTTAAGACACAACACTTGAAAAATTCTTTCAGAAACCGCTATTTAAAACGAAAAAGTTTGAGCCGGTCAGAAAAAGTCTCCGGGCACCAATATTGCGTAACTTTTCATAAGTTGGAACAAAAAACCTTGAGGCTTTGACTTGTTAGCAGAAACTTTTTATTTTCATATGGCACCAAAATCTAAATTTTGGTCATAAGCCAAAGTTATTAAAAAACTTTAAAAAGTATTTGGATTAAAAAATCATCCCGAGCACAAACGTTCCGTCATGTCCCCATAGTCGAAACAACAAAATGCTAATTTAACTCAGTTGAATACACGAGAGAAACCTTTTGAAGAAATTAGTTTGGAATTGTGTTTCCTTCAAAGACATAAGTGTTCCAACGCTCCATAATTCAAAGAGTCCTGTTAATTCAAAGAAACCTGTATAAAATTGTCATTATCACAAAAGAAACAATATTTTCGTGGTATTATTGATTGCGTTTTCTTGGTATTATTGACGATTCTAATAAATGTTTTATGAATAAGCCCGGAAAAATCAATAAAACTTTAGTTTTCTGTTTTTCTGCTCTTGGTTCGATTCTGCTCGTAGATCGTTTTGATAATTGCTCCACCCCTTTGATTTTTTATAAACACAAGGAGTAAGAAGTAGCTATGGTCTAGCTTAGGTTTTTTCTTACAATTTCATGAGCCTCAAAAAACAAGAGGGGCTTGAGTGAGGCATTAGATAGAAATTCTTTCAGTCCCAAATAAGCTCCAAAAAGTATTTCATAATTGGTATGCTACCGATCTGACTTAGGTGTTTTTCATTATACTTAGTTACGCGAATGTTAATCTTTTGTAGAAGCTACACGTCATTCCTCTACCCTAATGAAAAACGGCAAAAATTTAGAAAAAACTTTGCAAAGAATGTTACTTTTCACATATTTTTTTCCAGCTGTTGTTACAGCATATTATTCAAAGCAGTATGTGGTAATCACGCAGTGATGAGATTCTCTTGTTGGAGTTAGTTTTAATTGTATCAGTTTTTACAAAACAGAAAACTTTTTTCGGTGGGTTTTTTTAGCGTCTTTCAAAGCTGTACACCAAACCCTATCATGTCATACGCTTTAATTGTAAAACGCAGTCCATATTTTTGTGCTTCATTTGCTTTTTGTAAAATTAGCCGACTTTTTGGGCTTGCTTAAATGGCAATGTTTTTTTTCTCAAGTACAAAAAGGATCAGTTTAAAGTTTAACCTGTTTCGTAATACTTTGATTTATTACAAGAGCTAATAGTCTTAGTGATGGGGGAGGGCGTCCACGATATCTTTTCACTCTAAATCCACCCCTGGTCTAAAATTTCGACAAATCAGATTGATAAAAAATGTGAGTTAGGACCGAGTCGGTTAACTCATAGAGTAATTTCGGATAGGGTACACCGTCTGCTCGTCACGCTATCTTATTTTCGGCCGGATAGATTCGTGCAACTTCTTAGTCTAATACCGATCCTAATCTTACTCTTATACTATCTAGTCTCAGGTTGTTTAACTAGTCTCTGCTAGGCTCAATAGATCTAGGGTATACTGGTTTATTGCGGCTGCTGAAGTACTCGGGAGAGTCCAACTAACTTCTAAGTTAAATTCAAATCTCTCTGGTGCTGAAATTACAAGTAACTTCAGCACTTACAAATAAGTGGGTTGTTAGTTAGATGGATCATGATTGGTTAATATTAAATACTTTACATTGGTAAAATATCTAAATTATCCAATCATAAAATGTAGTTTAGATCAGGTTCCACCCATCCGGGTTTTACAGAGTTTTTTAGAATAGTTCTTCTGCAATTCGAAGGATGGATGATGGAAGTTGGTGTTTGGCGAACATCTTATTTCTTCTGTTTCCTTTTTGTTAAAGAAGTTCCAGGAAGCTGGAGTTAGAGACATAAGACGTTGTGTCTTCTAGTGACAACGACTAAGTCTTTGCAACAAACTCAAATCTGATTTCAGAATGGTTGGCTATGTCAGGTTTTTCTGTTCTGCGTGGAGAACTTCTTTTGTGTCTGATCTAGTTTGGGAATGGCGTGGAGATTGTGCGTGGAGGGGATGCCTGGTTACTCGGATCTGTACGTATACTTGAACATCGAGGTGGTCATTGGTCTAGTTCAATGAAGTCCTTTTCTGCGAAGTCAAGTCGTACTCTAAATCCTTTGAGTTGTGATTGTGAGTGGCATATCGATTGTGGTTGGTCATTCTCTCTCGAGTGTAGTGGGGTCGTTTTGTCTTTGGATGTTCGTCCTTGGTGTTGTATTCTGATCTATGTATTGCATAATGTAATTTACATTTTATAAAACATTTATTAGTTTAATATTTTTTAGTTATGATTTTAGTTAGTTGTTTTCACAAAAGCTTTTTGTTTTAGTTCGGTTATTTTGAAGAGTTACTCACACTTGAGTAGCTCTTATTAAAAATAGAGGTGTGGTCACAAAGCGTGGATGTAGCACGGTGGGTTAGGCCGGCTATAGAGCATGCTCAGGACGTCCTTCCTGGTGGGTTAGGCCAGGAGTGGGAGTATGATTTCATGCGTTTTTTTGTGAGGGGTCCTGTTATGTGACATCGTTTTATGTTGGGTTTGTTGTGGTTTTTCTTATGTTTTGTTGGTTGTGTCCTTTTTTCAAAAATCAAATTGTTTGTGGTATGGGTTTGTCTTTCGACTTTTTTGTGTTTTATTATTTCTTTCTTAGACTTTATAATAGTCTTCAAAAGAATAAATTATCCAGTTTTAAACTGGGTTAATCCGGTTTGGGTACCGTTGGTTTCCTTTTCTTAGTCATGCTGTTATTCTATGATTTGTGGTATTTAGTAAGCTGCGTTGGTTAGTTTTGTTTAGTATATGATTCCTTTCCAACCGGGTTAAAGGAAAGTTTGAAACATGTTATTATATGTTAGAGTTGTTGAGTGTGAAAACTTGAAACTGAAATTCATTATTTTAAACAATTCTTCGTGGGCGAGCTGTGCGAGTGTGGATAGAATTTCTGTGCGAATGAATGAAAATATCAAAAGGTTAGTACTGCAATTGCATTTTATTAATTTACTGCATAGAATTTGGAAATTTACTGCTAGTTATGGGGGAATTTTAAGTTACAAATTTTCATCATAATTAAATTTACTGCTTGTGGGGAAAATTTTAGAAATGAATTTACTGCATTGGTATTAAATTTATAAATTTATAAGTGGAAGAGATTAATAGAATTGTTGAAATCTTGTTTGATGAAATTTGCGATTTTTATTTGTCTTTTGTGGTTTTTGTAGGTGATCGTCGGATGAAGGCTAAAAATCTAAAGAAAACATGGATAAAGTATGGTGAGTTTTTTAATATTTTAATTAGTTAGTTATATTCATTTAATTCATACTTACCTGTTAGTCGTCGGGGAAAAAACCGTGGGGGAAGATGTCGTGAATTAGTTCTGAAGTTGTTAGTAGTTTAGCTAAGATGCGGATGATATTTTTAGTCTGAAGCAGTGGCCAAAGCAATTGGAGTGCCTTGATAGTGGTTAGTTCTTCAGTGCCAACTGCAAACTCATAAGGTGTGTTTTGGATTAGATTATATAATTTGTGATTGAATTTAGTGTTGTGGATGAATTCTAAAATTGGGATTTCTATAGGTTGTACAAACTCGTGCGGGATAAGGAAGGGTCGGGATTCTTCGGCGTTGAAGGTCTTGGTGATGGGACAGAAGATGTACATTTGGGTTATGGGGTCATAATTACGAAGAATACCATGAAGGTTAGTATCTTTAATGCAATATGTGAAATTTAGGAAAAATGGTGAAGTGTATTTGGAATTAATGAATTGAAAACGATGGTGTGGTTGTCTAGAGGGTGT